TTTCCTTTTCTTTGTATGCTTTATCAATTTGATGAGAATTGGACATCTTAAATGTTAAAATTATAACTCTGGAAATTAGATTCTCTCCCTCTGTCCCTGTCCATGGATTATTGCTGTTGCTTGATGAAGGCTGTAGTTATCCATTTATTTAGCACCTTTTCCAAACGATTTTTTGCAAAGACTGTATTCATTGTCGTGTATAATTGGTGAAGTCTCTCTTTTATTGTCTCTGCAGTCATCTAGTGTCCTGAAAGAGATTTCCTTAAATACCTGGATTCAAAATGAAGGAAAAGGAAAGAGAAGTGTTGTTTTGTCTCTTTAAATACCTTCCACCACTTGGGAGGCTGAAGCTATAAGATTGCTTGAGTCCAGAAGTTTGAGTCCAGCCTGGGCAACATAGTGAGACCCCATTTGAAAAAAAAATACCCTCCACCAATGAGGAAACCACATCAGCCTAGCCAATAGGGGTTGAAACAGTGGCCAGCCTCCATAATGATCCCTTAGCAAATGACAAGGCAGATCAAAACACACAACCCTCATTTTTGGAGGACAAGGTCGCTCTTGCCCACCCTCACATCAGTAAGCTATATCAGGGATATGGACTACCATCCCTGTGGCTGCCCGCTACTGGTGTGAATTCACCAAAACTCACCACCAGCTTTCTTTGTCAAGCATTCCCCTGGATGCTTCAAGTTTCCACTACAGCCTAGAGTTCCAAATAGTTGGTTCTGACACTTCTTGCCAGTTCAATAGTTGTTTTAGTGAAACAGTCGGTTCCTGGAGCCTCCACCTCTGCCACCTTCTATAATATCACTCTTCCCCCACCATATTAGTCTTGATCCCACAAGAAACAGATGGCACCCTCAAGATAGGATAATTTGAGGAGAGTGTATTTACAAAGGACTATTTACAAAAGTGTAGATGTAGGAGAATCACAAAAAAGAATGCAGTGACCCAAGATGAACAGCAGCCCAGCTGATGCTACTCCTAAGCCCAAAGGGGTGAGGAAAAGAACCAGGACCAGGAAGAAAGGTGAGGTAGCCACCTTGAAAGGAGCAGTGACATTTGGTTGATGGACACAGCCAGCCTGAGGCAACCTCACAAAAAGAAGGAAGCAGGGGATTAAATATCCTGATATCATCCTCTCTCCTCCTCCTCCTCTTCCTACTTTTACTCCCTCTTCCCCTGCTGGGGCTCTTTATTGGCCAACCAAACACCTGAATACAAGGGGGGCCAGTTGATGTGGGAGTGAAGAAGGATGAAAAGTGGATCTGGAGGACTAAATGGAGAATATCCAGGTAGCTCTCCCCATCCCAAAACTCTTTCTAGCTTCTATCTGAGACTGAATGCAGGCTAGGTGCAGTGGCTTACACCTGTAATCCTAGCAAGCACTTTGGGAGGCTGAGGCAGGAGGGTTGCTTGAGGCCAGGACTTTGAGATTGCAGAGAGCTATGATGATGCCACTGCATTCTAGTTTCAGATGACAGAGCAAGATCCTGTCTCAAAAAAAAAGACAGAATGCATCAAATTTCTGGCTCTCTTAGAATAGTCACTTTTCAAATACAACTAGAGAATCCTTCTCTGGAGAGACCTCCCAATATTGACATTTGACATATGGCACATCATCTGTGCACCTTATAGTGGAGCCCACTAATCTAGTGCTCTCAAAACGTAATGTGCATTTGAATCACCTGGTGATCTTGTTAAAATGCAGACTCTAAATCTGTAGGTTATAGTGGGGCCTGAGATTCTGCATTTCTAATAAGCTCCCAGGTGATGCCAAATACTGCTGGTCCTTTTTGAGTAGCAAGGAGCTAGTCAACTCATCTTGCCCAAATACTGGGTCTCCACTCAGCTTTTCAGTGTCTCATCCTTAAGTATGAACAGACTGCTAAAGAAGACAGACTTTTGAGGATGGCCACTAACATGAGAGAAACCAAAACAAATCAGCATTTTTATAACAGGACCCCCCAAAACAGAGACAAGACACTCTAATATCTTCAGAGAGACAGAAGAAGATATTCCTCTCCATAAAACCAGGATGGAATAATATGGAAAGAAGAAAGTCAACAGGAAAAAAAAGGTCATGGGAATTAAAAATAAGAAAACTGAAATTTAAAATGCTTGAAGATAATGCAAGGAAATATTCCAAAAAAAATAGAACAACGATAAGCAAACAGTAGGTTTAAAGATTCAGTTCTGCAAGATGAAAAGAGTTCTTGAGTTCTTTTTACATTGTTTAACAATGTAAATCTACAACACTACTGAAACGTACATTTAAAAATGATTAAGATGATACATTTTATGTTATGTATATTTGAGCACAATTAAAAATAAAAATCAAATAGACAAAAAAAACGAAAGAGGCCGGCGCGGTGGCTCACGCCTGTAATCCTAGCACTCTGGGAGGCCGAGGCAGGCGGATTGCTCAAGGTCGGGAGTTCGAAACCAGCCTGAGCAAGAGCGAGACCCCGTCTCTACTATAAATAGAAAGAAATTAATTGGACAACTAATATATATATATATAGAAAAAATTAGCCAGGCATGGTGGCACATGCCTGTAGTCCCAGCTACTTGGGTGGCTGAGGCAGCAGGATTGCTTGAGTCCAGGAGTTTGAGGTTGCTGTGAGCTAGGCTGACGCCATGGCACTCACTCTAGCCTGGGCAACAAAGTGAGACTATGTCTCAAAAAAAAAAAACACAAAAAACCGAAAGAGATAGAAAATATAAAATTAAAGGATCAATCCAGAAAGTCTAACTTCCAAATAACAGGTATTTCAGAAAGAGAACAAACAATAGGGAAGAAGTGGTGGCTCATGCTTGTGATCCTAGCACTCTGGGAGGCCAAGGTGGGAGGATCACTTGAGCTCAGGAATTCCAGATCAGCCTGAGCAAGAGTCAGACAATGTCCCTCTACTAAAAATAGAAAAATTAGTCAGGTGTTGTGGAATGCTTGTATTCCCAGATACTTGGGAGGCTGAGGCAAGAGGATCACTTGAGTCCAGGAATTTGAGGTTGCAATAAGATATGATGATGGCACTGCACCCTACCGAGGGTGACAGAGACTCTGTCTCCAAAAAAAGAAAGAAAGAAAAAGAAAACGGAAGAGAGGATATTGTCAAGGAAATGATAAAAGAAAATTTCTTCCAGGACTAAAGCACATGAGTTTCCATTTTGAATGAGTATTGAATACAAAAAAATAAGAAAGTGGCAAAGCCAGACATATCATTATAAAATTTCCAGCCATTAGGTTAAAGAGAAAATCCTAAGTCTTCCAGTAATGAGGCAGCAATATTAATAACATACAAAAGATCAGGAATATGAACAGGAATCACATTTTTTAATAGCAACCCTGGAAGATATAAGAAAATGGAGTAATTCCTTTAAAGTGATAAGGGAAAATTATTTTCAAACTTGAATATCCATCCCAACAACAAATCAAGCATTAGCATAGAAGTAAGACATTTTCAAATATGCAAAGGCTCTAACAACATAGTTCCTATCTTCCTTTCTTAGAAAGTTACTAGAGGAGGTGCTTTAGCAAAACAAGGAAGTAAACCAATAAAGAGGAAGACATGGGATCCAGAAAATGGACAAAACCAGCCTAGAATAGCAATAAAGGAAAATCCCAGAATGACAACTGTACAGCCAGTCTGCAGGGCAATCAATCCAGATGGAAAGAACAGGAAGGCTGGCTCTGAGACAGAGATTCCCGAGAAAAAGTGGAACTTATATATTTGACCATATGGAAAATATTATTTCTAAACTTTCTGAGAGAGTCTTAGAGCACTTGAGGGGACAAGCGAATTGTAAATATTATATATAGAAAATCAGACAAATGACAGAAAAAAGGCAATAAATAATTAACCCTAACAAAAATGAAGGGCTATATAAGCTGGAAGGCATGATTATAGTGCATTTCTTAGCTCATCAGTAAACAATATTTGCATACATAATAACTTTATACAGATTATTAGTTTAACCAGAAATTGTTACAAACTATGTGGTGGGGAGCAGAAGTGATAGGGTTAAATTCTTATCTGCCATGGTAGGAAGTCAATAGATAATGCCAAAAATTAACAAATCAAAGCCAGGTAATGAGGTGGCTCACACCTGTAATTCTAGCACTCTAGGAAGCTGAGGTGGGAGGATACCTTGAGGTCAAGAGTTTGAGACCAGCCTGAGTAAGAGCAAGACCCTGTCTCTACCCAAAATAAAAAAAATTAGGTGGCTCTCTTTGAGCCCAGGAATTTGAGGTGGCAATGAGTTTATGATAATGCCACTATACTCTACCTGGGGTAATTGAGTGAGATTATCTCAAAAAAAAAAAAAATCAAGAAATAGCAGTATAAGCATTTATTTAGAAATATGACGGTAAATATCAGAATGAATAAATATGTGAAGTGTTGAGGATATTGCCTCTGAAGAGTAGGAAGGGTAATTTCGTTACAAGCTTTTTAGTATTATATGTATACATGTTTTAAACTATTCATATGCATTATTTTTACTTCATACACGTTAATGTTAAAGCGTTAGAATATAGTTTGGGAGGATCTGCAATGTCCTGAAGCTCTTAAGCAAACTGCTTTTTAAGGGTTGTTAGGGGCCTTAATGATAGGGGCTAGTTTTTGTTCATTTTTTGGCCCCCTCCCCTGCCAAGACTTAACAGAAAATAATTTTTTTGGCATGTGGAAAGGACTCAATTAAGTTTGTTATATTCTTCCTAGAAGAGGGAGAATACAAAGCAAGGCACACAGGCAGAAGGTGCAGATTTGGCACAAAGATGAGTTCAAATTCTGAACGCAGGTGAGTAGCAAGGTATGCCTGTGGCAGAGGTACTGGAAGGTGAGAGCTTCAAAGGCAGAAAAAAATCGCGTTCGGGAGCTCCCCAGGCATAGAAATGGAGGTATGAAAGGAACCCAGAGGGGTCCATCTGAGTTGCCTATTCATCCAGGTGACTTCTCTTTCCTTTGCATCAGTATCCTTTTAACAACGTGTAGTTACATAATTAAGAATTTGTTTATTGCCTGTTTCCTTCTGCAGACTGTAAGTTTCACGAGAGCAGGACCTCGTCTGTTTCATTTACCGCGCTGTATCCCCAGCGCAGACCAGGAGCCCACTAAGTATTTACTTGTTGGAGAAATGCATGCGTGAGGAGCCATTAACCTGGAATGAAAAAGGGGCACCCACAAGCTGAGAGCAAAGAGTCCCGCTGGGAGATGACAAGGGCGAGCTTCTTGCGGGGGTCTCTGAAATGAGAAGACCAGAAGGGTGGAATTGGACCTCCAGGAAAAAGCGTGAGGAAGACGGGCAGTGAGACAAGCACTGGGGAATGACAGCTCGGTGGGTGGTAGGGGGTGGATGTGAGGAGACGTCTGTGGGAAAGTAGGGGCGGGACGATGGTATCACGCATGCGCACGATCAGTCTCCTCCTAACCCCCTCCCGGCGCCCCGGCGCGCGCGTGCACGAGGGGTCGGAGCGGAAATGGTGCCGCAGGGCCGCGCGTCCCGGCGGCGAGCGGAAGTGGGTGTGAGAGCGGAAGTGGCCGGCTAGAGCCGGGGGCTGGGCGGGGACCGGGCTTCTCGGTGAGGCGGCAGCAGCGGCGGCGGCGGCTCGGCAGGCGGGTTGAGGCTTCTGGGGCCAGGTCTGTTGGGTGGGTGGGTATCTCCACAGTCAGTGCGTGCGTGGGCCAGCGCGTGCGTCTTCCCCCTCCCTCCACCCCGATCCCTTTCCCCTTCTCCCTTAACCTCCTACCCCACCCAGCCCCCCTCCTCAGGGGGCAGCGGGGCCGCTCCCTCAATCCTTCCTTCCCTAACCCATCCTCACCCACCCTTGTTTCTCCTTCCCCTGCTCGGGGCAGCCGCCGCCATGATCCTGCTGGAGGTGAACAACCGCATCATCGAGGAGACGCTCGCGCTCAAGTTCGAGAACGCGGCCGCAGGGTGAGCGCGCGGCCGGGGGTGGCGGGGCAGGCAGAGTTGACCCCAGCAAATCCCCAGTGGGGTCGTCCAGCCCCCCCAGCCCTGGAGGGGCGAGATGGGGGGCCTGGCAGGGTGCAGGGGCTGCCCTGGCGGGGAAGACGTGGGAGGCGATTGGGCGCGGCGGGGTGAGGGGCAGAGATGCGTAGGGAGAGGCTCGGAGGAGGGATGCGGAAGCAGCGAGCAGACAGGAGAGTGCATGCCAAAGGGTTGGAGACCTGTAGAACGTGAGGGCAGCTTGGGCTGGAACTCTTGCGCTGGAGGAGCCTACTGCCCTCTGGGGCGAGAAGGGGACCCTTCCCTCTGTATTCCCCGACATTGTTCTGAACCCAGAGAGAGCCCGTTTGGAATTGGGTTGGAAGGAGTTTTCAGGAATTCCCAGGACTGGAGGAGGGAAGATGCAGGCCCAGATCGCCACCAGCGTTCTAGTTCCCTACACCCGTGTTCTCTAAAAGGAGCATTAGGGAAGACTGAAAGCCGACCCAGTCTTGCAGCCAGAAAAACGTGATCTCTCTAGTTTCCCTTCCCTGAACCCTACTGTGAGAGACACTGGCCATTTTGTTACATATTTCTCAAGCAAAGCTAAGATCCACACCCCTTCCTTATCTTTCTTTTGAGCTTGTAATGCTCTTTCCCCACCCACTATCCTTTATCTGGTTATCTTTTCAATTCTTACTGGAGACCCTTGGTCTTTGATTTCTTCTGTGGTAAGCCTGGCCCAGTTAACACACGTCAAAACCTCCAGAATCTATAAAGTTCTGAGATGATCTTTCTTATGATTGGTCTTTTTTAAAGATAAGCTTAGAGCATATTACCAACACAGCCTTCTCTGTCAAACACAAGAATCAGTAGAAGACAAACAACCTCCTCCCCTAAAGCTGCTTTGCTTTTCTTATATATTTAAAACATGAGCCGAGGGTTTTAGCTTCTAATATTTGGTGGCCTGTGGCCAGTCCCTTTGCCTCATTTCCCCATCTGGGAGGATGGAGCTTCACATCTTGGTTTCACAATTGAGGAAATAAGTGCACACTGTTTCTGGTGAACTGGAAACTAGTAATAGGAAAGTACTTGAAGATCCACGGATGAGAGAGGACTGGTGGAAGGGAAATTCTAAGTGATCATAATGCACTTGTGGCTTAAAAGACATTATTAAAAAAGAGTACTAACTCACCGCTTAAATTGAGTATGTTGTGTGTCCTGTCCCTTTCATGCCGCAGATTTTTGTCTGTGAAGCAAAGCACGACTTTCCTTGAAGTAATGTGTGCAGGGAGCAGTACTGTTTCCTGCCAGGAGCTGCAGTTGCTTATATTTTAAGCTGACTTGCTTCTTTCTTATCTTCAGCCCCTTTTACCAGTTGCTTTGCATTTTAAATATTCAAGTGAATCAGCCCAGGTCTTATTTTGGGTGATTGCTATATACTTTTTTTGAGTAGTGTAGCACACAAGAGGAAGTTGAATTAACTTCTGCATTTTCACAACTGATCTTAATACATCCTCAGGTCCAGACTAGCAAAGAATGAGACCTGGGTGGTTATAAGCTGATCTACAAGATAAATGGCTATGTATTTTCAAGTAGAGGCATGCCTTTTACTGAAGGAGTATGTTCACATATCTATTTATGTATTAATAACTTGTGGTTCCAAAATGTGGTCTATTATTCAGCTCTTTTCTTTTAGAAGATTATTCTTAAAAATAACAGCTAACCATTTCAGAGGATTAACGCAGGCCCTCAAGTCTGGAAGGCATAAATTACAATTTCCAAGACATTTTTTACAAAGGTGTGCATTGTAGCAAAGTTGAATGTGGGCCGGGCAGGTAAGTTTCAGCCTTTATTCTGGCCCATCTCTCTTTTGAGATGTGACTTTCAATAAGTGAGCTCAAAATATTCTGCTGAAAATCTTTTTGAAAAGATACTATGATATTGTGCTTAGTAGATAGGGCTTTCCTAGTGTTACAGTTTTAACACCTAGCAGAAGCCTAAAACAAGTGTAGGTTTTCAGGGATCTCAGTGATATGAGGCAGGAGCGAAGCAGTTAAATATTTATCAAGGCTCATGCCTACACCAGAACTTCCAACAAAGCCTTGCCTGGTGTGATCATCATAAACATTTATGGGATTCTACCAGCACTCAGCACCAAGCAGCAACAGAAAAAGAGAGACTTTCTGAGAGCCTGTTAGCTAAGTTACAGAGGAGCTAAGGAGTGAGAGGTGTTGGAGTGGAGGTCAGAGCAAGACATTAAAGAAAGGAAGTAGCTTGGAGGAGAAACCTAAGAGATTCCAAAGGCTTTGCCAGTGTGGGAACCTGCTGGGAAATGTCAGCTCCACCCTGCATTTTACACTTCTCAGAATAAACCATTTGGGGAAAGTACGATTCAGAGCAGCCTTTCCAAAATGTATCTTCCCCCTCTGGGTTGTCCAGTAAGATAGCCATACATGTGGCTGGCTAAATTTAAGTAAAAATTAATTAAGGTGAAATAAATTTGAGTTCCTCCATCACGAGCCACATTTCTAGTGCTCAGTTGCCACGTGTGGCTAGTAAGCTGCGGTGCTTATCACAGATGTGGAACATTTCCATTATTGCACAAAGTTCTATTGGACAGCACTGTCCCAGCTACTGAAAATGAAAGCATGCGATAGTCTTAAAAATAGTTCTGTGGCACATACTTCAAAGTGCATTGCATTAATTTTCCTTTTGAGGTTGATCTTTTTTTAATGATTCCTCTTAGATCATCCTGCTGAATCTTCTTGCCTGTGACATCCTACTAAAGCTAAATTTCCTTCTGAAAAAAGCAGTTCTGTCATCTAAACTGTTCAAGAATACATTTGGTTATGATAACATTTTAATTTGGAGGCAGTTCAACAAGTCTACAGTTTGTTCTAAACAAATTGCTTTCTGCTTTTTCCTATCACACTCCTGGGGGTGGCTTATTGAAATGATCCATATATCCTCACAAAGTGATAATTATAGGTAAATTGTCTTCCCAACAGCCTCCAAACTGAGAGAATGTGAGTGGTTAAAAAGCTATACCCGAACACTGCAAATAACCTCACGCACAAGTCTAATCAACAGCATTGCCTTTTCATTTAGGAATTCTTACTCAAACCCCTGATTAAAGCAGAAGTAATCTGGCAAATTAATTTAATTCTTTTGTTAGTATGCACACCAAGAACCTTTTCAGCCTCAGAAGCTAGGCTTGTCAACTTAGCTAGAGTCTGGAGTCCAAAATTGAGGAAATGCTGTCAAATGCAAATTGCTGTTGATTTTAAGTGTATGCTGGCTCCTTGCCACGGCCTGTGCACATTGTGGGGAGCTGTGGTTCAGTGTGGGGGAGTGAAACTCAGTAAGCAAGCAGTGCCAGTTGGGGTGGGCGAGGATTGTGGGAAGAGAGATTTGAGAAAGGAATAAATTAAATCTTGCTGATACCTTGTTCTCATTCCCAAATATGCTGCATATGTCCTCAGAGAGACAGGCTGATTTGAAATGATTTGGAATTAGGACATTGTTTAACATTTAGAGGAAATGGAATGTAGTGTATGACTTGCTAAGAAGATCTGGTTGGTATTTTTACAAGTCATTCTAGTTACACACTACTGCCTGTCCTTTGGCCTCCTTGGAACCACTTTGGGCATAGCCCCAGAGACGCACTCCGCCAAACTGATGACTCCTTAAGGGCTGGGTCTAAAATGTTAGTCATTTTTGTTTTGCCAGCAACCTCATTGTATATAGAGTCAGCTCAGTAAATGTTTCTTGAAGGAATGAATGAAGCCAGATAGAACAATGCTTGGTTTCCTAGGAGCTATCACTTTTCTGACATTGTGTGAATCAGCTTTTAGGTCTCTTTTTCTCTATATTTTTTGAGATACGGCTTAGCAAAGAATAGGACCACCTCTGACCTAATGCTATCCATTTTTGACTGATGCTTGACATTCCAGAAGCTTCCTTAGAAAAAGGTTGGAAGAAATTTTTTTCTAAAGGATTTTAAGAGTAGCTCTTGAAACCCATCTGAATGGACTAAATGTGTTTTAGTGTCTTGGGCTGTCCATTCAGTAACTCTGAGAACTTATCCAGCCGGCTTGTTCTAGGATTCCAGACATTACAACAGACTGGCACTAGTAGGAGTCCTGTTTCTCCTTGTACTGCTAAGCAATTCCTGATTCAGGGAGTTACCACAATCCTAAAACCTCTCCCAACCACAGTTGGTCTCCTCTGACTCCACCTAGAAGGAAAACCAATTTATCACCTTCTATGAACCAGGCATTGTGCTATATGCTTTAAGACAGTTTCATTAACTTCAAAATATGCATCTTTTGTGACAAGAGAGTAGATCCCATTTACAGTGGAGAAAACTAGGTCTCTTGGGGGTTGGGGAGGGTAGGCCTTGGGTAACTGCTATGTATCAAGCACTGCTAGGTATCCTTCACTGTGATCCTTGACCTCCTTTATCATGTGACACACATAGAACATGATTGTATTTGTATGGCACTTTTGAGTAAATGATCTAGCCTAAAGATCCTGCCACTGGCTGCCCTAAGGGCTATGGGATCATTATCTGAGCATATCTGTAACTTAAACAGGAGACACTGGTTGGGAAACTTTGTATAGTAGTCCCCCATTATCCATGGTTTCACTTTCTGCAGTTTCAGTTACCTGCAGTCAACCATAGTCCAAAAATATTCAATGGAAAATCCCAGAAATAAATAATTTGTAAGTTTTAAATTGTGCGCTGTTCTGAGTAGTGTAATAAAATTTTGCACCGTCCCACTCTGGACATAAATCTTTCCTTTGTCCAGCATATCCACACTGTATACACTACCCTCTGTTTAGTAGCTGTTTCAATTATCAGAGATCAGCTATTGCAACATTGCAGTGCTGTGTTCAAGTAACCCTTGTACTTAATAATGGTCCAAAATGAGAGAAGTGATGCTGGCAAT